ATATATATACACATACATATACACGCCTATGGGCCTATGTGTATACATTTACACATAATTATACATACATACATACATGCATACATTCATACATACATACATGCATACATACATACATACATACATACACATATACAGAGAGAGAGAGAGAGAGAGAGAGAGAGAGAGAGAGAGAGAAAGAGAGAGAGAGAGAGGGGGGCAGATGCCGAAGACTCAGCGCAGTGGACAAGCAACCGACTTAGGCTTGGGCCGTCGACGGCAGCTACGACATCAGGCATAGTCTCCATGCTGCCATGTCTGGGGTGGTGCTGTGCATCTCTTAGCTTGTGTAGACTTGAAAACATACCATCCGCAGGACAGAATGCCGCAGATGCAAGCTGTAAAGTCGTTTGTCGCAGGGGGTCGGCGTGTGGCCAGAGGTTTCATTTCCTGGTGAGTTCTGGCAGGGAAGAGCAAGCAAAGAACTTCATGATCTTCTTTTCCGTTGGAAGCTTTTTCCTGGCAGCCGGCATTGTCTTCGTCGCCAGCTTACTTGAATGTCACAACACGTGCATGTCTCCTGCTGTGGGGAAGCATTGTGGCATTTCTGCAAACTTGTTGCAGGTCATCAGCAAGATGAGCGATGACTAGCCCTTCGAATGAGCGTCGTGATTATAGTAGGATCTGCACCTTTCTCTGCTCTTGCACGAGCCACCCCGACAGTTTGTTCGATGCGCCTGGAGATGCCTGCGAGGAAAAGATACGAGCCTGCCTAGAAGTGCAGCATCATCCGGCTCAGAGCAGTCCACAACTGCAGCACCGTCCCCCCTTGTGGTTTCGGTTCCAGTGCTGGGCCCTTTCAACACAGTCAATGCCCCTTGGCACTTAATTACTCTTTTTGAAATGTCTACCAGCAGTGGGAGACCAAAGCGTTCTACTGAGCGCGTGCTCGCGATGGGTCATGACTGAGGCTGGCTCTGCACACTTCGCAATGTCCCAGCCCCGAATTCCAGGAAGAGTGCTCTCAAGCTTTTCAATGAATCAATTCCGTCTCTCTCTCTTGCAGAAGATGCAGACCTTCGGCGCTCAGGGACTCGCCGTCTAGCTGGCAGAGGAGCACTTCCAGCTCGAGGCAAGAGTCATGTGGGAGAACCTGGCCGTGCGAACGAGCGTCCAGCGGTCCAGCGACTTTCCAGGTTTTCCCGCTCTACAGGGAAGATGGTAGCCAGCTGCTCAGCAAGTCTGCTTCTGGCGTAGATGGATTTGGGTTGGGCATGTGTCCTGAGGTGTGCCCATGTCCACACCCTCCTCCAGTGGACAAGACAATGTCCGGCCTCCCGGTTCCGAGAGTCGAGAAGCACCACTTGCGGCGGCTGTGGTGGTCAGGATGGCAAGGTACGACAAGCTGGAGGATGGCCTCCGTAAGAATTGGGCTTGGGTCTCGACGGTCTCTTAACCACTGAGCCTTCCAGCCGGCTGTACTCGGAGTACCGACGAGGCCTCTTTGCACGACGCGGACGCTGACCTTAAAGGGACCCGATCCTCTGCAACCGGGGAGGTGGCCTCCATGGAGGCCAGGAAAAGGGGCACATCCACGTCCACACCGAACAGGCACCGCTTAGGCACCCTGTGCCTGCTCAGGCCATGCAGCAACTGCAGGCACAGGAGGCGAGCAGCTGTGAGCTGATGGGAACTGGGACTAATAGGGTGTGTGTACTGGATCACAGCAGGCCGTGCTGTGAAATCGCGTCACAGACGGAGATGCTGAAGAAGGGTAGCAAGGGGGGGAAGGAAGGGAAGGAGCGAGGGAGGGAGGGACGTCTTGGTAGCCGTGGTCGTCCGTATCGGCAATTGCATTACATGGACTTCGGGTGTCGGGTAGGGCAGACTCGGACGAACAGAAGAAGGACGCAATAAAGTGGGGATCTGCGTATATTGTATAATATTGTATATGTAAGTGTGACTGCCCTGCAGATACATGGCCAAAATCTCACACGACCCTTTGTTGCTGCCTTGGCCGCCGCGTCGTGGCAGGCACGTGATGCAGCAGAGCTGGAAGAGGACACGGAAGGGAAGTCAAACAGAGCTACGCTTTGTTTTGAGTTCTCTGCTTGCGGAGAAGTCATAATATGCAAAGGCACAGCAATCGCAAGTTCGTGAATGGGTAGCGTGGGTCTTAGTCAATTGCACTGCTGAGAAGGTTTATTGCAATTGGCTGCTGCTCATTTTGGCAGAGGCTCGCACGGTGGACAAGTCCTCGGAAAACGATCAGTATGCCAAAGAAGCCCTGACGTCAAGAGAGGCACTGCAATGCACAAGTTGACAGCTTAAGAGCACTTTTGGCCTAGATGACGAGGAGCAAGCAGATTCAGTGTTGCAGCAGCAACAAGAGGACGGGCACGATCTGGGAACTCGAGGTTGGTGGCTCGTGTCAACGACAGCGGACTGCATATGAAGGTTAGGTCGGCGACGCGGTCCTGGAGAACAGAAGTGAGACACCACAAGAAGGAGCACATGCAGCTTTTGCACCGCTGGACGCAGTTTCGCTTGCAGCTTCCGCGAAGGACCCCTGCAGCCCAATCACGCTGAAGCAGCAGGTACTTGGCCTCTGGAAGCGTCTTACTCCCAGCCCTGTGAGTGCAGCGCCGTCGCCAAGGCGGAGCAGCGGTGGAAATGCCTCTTCGGGGATGCCGGCGTGGCCTACGCCCCTCCTGGGACTGGCTGGGCTGTCGATCACTCAGTGCCTGCGAATTGCATCCTTCGCCGGCGACGTGAAAACACGAGGCCTACTCCGGATGGAAGAGGGACCGCTTCTCTGTCTTCAGCAGGAGACTAACCTCGCGCCGCGTGTCGCCGACGTTTCAGCTCTGAGCGAAATCCTGACGCGAAGTTCCAAGGCCAGAGCTCAAGTCGCAGCCTCAGCGCGGCCTCATTCCACAATCAGTCCTTGACGGCTCAGCTGAGCCGTCAGCCTGCCGTCCTGCAGGCTACCTGGGTCTAAAGCGAGGGGATGTTTTCGAACTTGCGCTCCGCGCACGAAATGTGGGCACGGTCCTGGCCTCTGTAATCGTGCAAGTGCTCGCTGCTGCGGTTGCATGACATGCTGACTTTCTTTGGCCGAGTCGCACCTTATGTGGGGATGTGAGGTCAGCTCCATCACTCTGCCGGAAGAGTCATGCACTCAGCAGAGCGATGCGAGAGGGAGCGCCTGCCTCGTGCTGGCACCGCGACACAGGCTGTCGAAGAGGCTTACACGAATGAGAAGCCCAACTCTCAGCTGCTTGCAGAAGAAGGGCTGCCAAACTCTCGACACGCTTCGAGGCCTCCCCCCGGTCGGGGTGCCGTGAAGAAAGTGAGTCTGCAGCCCTCTGTTTGAGCGCGAGCACCGCCGGCTGGCGACTGGGACGCCTGCCTTGGTGACGCTTCGCCGAAAAGCAGCCCAGCAGAGCCCGGCAGAGCCCGGCAGGCCGCGTACGTAGGATTCCGCTTCGCCGTGCTTCGAAGAAGCGAAGAGAGCGAAAGCAGGAGCGCAAAGGGTTTCAGACGCCTCGCGAGGCGCCTAGGTCCAAGACCGGGCAGCCGCTGAGAAAAAGGAGGGCCGTCGAGAGGGGAAGAGAGGAGAGCGGAGGGCAGGGAGCGGGGCTGCGGCTGCGGTGGCTCCTCGTCTTCGCCCAAACAGGCCGAACAGGGTGTTGCCTTTTTGGGCTCAAGCTGGTGTGTTTACCAGCTTGGAGTCCGAAAGAAGCTAAGGATTCGCGGGACAGGCTCAGACGGTCTCGAAACTCAGAGACTGTAGACAGAGCGCAAGTAAAAGCTGAGATTCCAAGCTGCAGCGCGATGCAGCAAGCGATGCTGCCCGTGCAGCCGCCGATGCTGGTTGACTGAGTTGTTCGGGAATGGGTGAGTCCTCGGTCGAAGGGATGTGCCCCCTGAGGTTTCACTGGAGTGGGCTGATTTCTGGTGTTTTTCCGTGAAATGCGTGGGTTCCCAGAGACCTTGTGGCCTCGCTGCGTTTGATTGGGCGAGTCTTGACATGTAGACTTCTCAGACATGGCCCTGGGTGACCCACGGAGAACGGCGGAAGTTGACCTTTTTGGCTTTTTCTGTTTCATCTGTTTCAAAAAAGCAATTGCAGCTAAAGGCTGAAGGCATCTGGGCAAGGTGCATGGTCTGCCTCCGTCTACCGCACACTGCCAGCGCTTGAAGCTCGAACTTGCTGCAGCATGTGGTCCAAGACACGTCGTAGCTTCGTTTGTCGGCAGCTGGCACGTGGTGCGGGGCCAAGAGTGCTTGTCGGGTCGAATGCAAGCGCAGCTACATCGGAGCGCGCAGGTCCATGGTGTTGACGGACCCCGGCGGAGGTGAATGGGTCGTCTTCAAATCAGGGTTAGGGCCGGTTAGGGGACACACTGTGCAGGCTCCAATAAGGCGTGAGTTGCTTGTGTCATTCTGCTTGCAATGGACCCATTTTGGCACAAACCTCGCGGTTTTGTTCAGCCATGGCAAGTGGCGACCCTGTTTTATGGGCTGCCCAGCGCCAGGCCAAGATTGCGGCAGCCAGGGCACTCCGAGAGCAGCACAGAGATGGCCTGACCGAGCAACACACCTTCCATCCCAAGTGTTTACCTCGGCGCCCGCCTTCTGGCTCTGCAGAGCGAGAGACTCCAGAGACTCAGAGCCGTCCTCCCCAGAAGGCCTGCCTCCCACCCCGCCGTGTGGCCCGCGCCTCGTCGCGTGGGGCAAGTCCTAGCCTTAGTCGTCTTCCAGACGCACCGGAGGGCCCCATAAGGCTCCCGAAAAGCGAAAGCAGGACAGAAGGCTCTGGAGGCTATGCGCATGGGAATGTGCTTCCCAAGCCTCCGAAGTGCCGGGTCCGCGGCCCAAGCCCAAGCCCGATCGCGCAGCCCAAAGACGAAATGAGCCGCAAGACTTCCTCCCCACGGCGCCCGCAGCCTCCTCGCTGGGTTGAGTCGAGGCACTGCAAGCCGAGCGAAGCAATTCAGGGCGGCGTCCCGGCTGAGGACCAGGATCTTTGTCTTTCCCTGCTTGGCACCTCCCGCTTCATTGCCGAAGACGAATGTGAGGCGGCAGCGGCGGGTGTTTTTTTCTCAAATTCTTTCTTCTGTTGCTGCGATGCGTCCCCTGAGGCTGCGGGTGTGCTGGAGGCCAGCTTCGAGGCCTGGCGGAGAGCAGAAGATTTTCGCAGAAGCTTGCGCGATGGCGATTCGCGCACTTTCGCGCTTGCAGGCGTCCTCGAAGCTTGTCTGCTTGGACTCCAGTGCCACCTGGGAAGATCCCTGATGCAAAGAAGAGCGAGGAGCCAGAGCGAGCGCCAGGCCGAGAGGCCGAGAGGCCGAGAGCGAGTCAGCGCGAGGCAGGAGCGCTGCGGCTGGAGACTTCTGCGGGCAACCGGGGCAACGAGGACTCAGGCAAGGCGAACTCCAAGGCATGGCGCCGCAAGGCCTTGGACACTTGCGCGCGGTCTCACTCGGCGGGCCCGGGCCTTCCGACTCAAGCACACAGCGTGGCCGTGGCCCAAAGGAGCGTCTCGATCCAGTCTGCTTGTTCTGTGCCTTGCTCCAAGCCTGTCAGAGTCCCAGATTGAAGCTCCATGCAACTTGTTGCAACAGCGAATGTCCTGCGGCGATTTTGGGCTCAGAGCGTTCCAGGGGCCAGGCACCTGCGCAGTGCCAGCGCAGCAGTTTTCGAGAGGGGAGAGGGGGCCAGATCCTACAGAAACTCAGCCCGAGCCCCTCCTGCAGGACTCCTGCAGCCCCGAGTCTCAGCAGAAGAATTACGAGGAAAACGCAGTTCTAATTGTGGGCCGTGTTCGGGCTGTTCGGGCATGGCCTGTCTCGGCAGCCTTTCAGCCTTGGACCTCCGGTTTGCCTCTCTCGAGGATGAGGCGAGTTTCCTGGCTTTGCTGGCAGAGAGACGGCGGCTCCATACTTTGGTCAGCGGAATCTCGGTGGCAGCTGTCTGGCTCTATGTGCAACTCGTGTTGGCCGAAGTCCTGGACCTCAGAACGTGGCTCACTCTCTGCAGCGCTCTGGCCTGGCTTCTGGCTGCAGTCGCGATGGCCGTGCCAGCAAAGTCCAAACTCTGCATCAACCAGGAGTGGATCTGGGTCCCCTTGGCATCTTTCTGTTGTGCCCTCATGGCGCAGCCGCGCTCCGAAGAAAATGGCCCGTCGAGGCTTGGTCTCGTGTCTGTGGCCGTGAGTGCGACTGCCATGCTCCCCCTGAGGAGTGCCGTTAGCTGGTTGGTCTATGTAGTAGCTGTCTTGTCCTTCGTCTTAGGCTCTTTTGACTCTGCCGTTCCCAGTCCGGCTGCTATTGTCGCGGCCGATAGTGTCGCCCTGCTGCTGGTGGCGACGAGCTTCTTCCATGCAGGTTGGTGTCGCGAAGTCTACGCTCGCGGCTCTGCACAGGCGTCGGAGGAGGTCCTCGAGGGTGACGCCCCCGGCGCCACCAGCAAGGCCCTTGTGGAAGATCTGCAGTCCGACGAGGAGAATCCGGAAAAGGAGCACGTCGAGGCGCCCGACCATCTGGTCCTCCGCATCGCAGGCGACCTGACAATCCTGCCGTCCCGAGCTGAGATGGGCTTGATGGTGCCTAGCATCCTAGTGCATAGGTCCCAAGATGTGCCAAGTACAGTACCTGAGCACAACTTCGTCAAAACCTTAGTTGGATGCAGTCGGTATCATCGATGCAAGCTAGCCAGGTGCAGCATGGCAGAGCACCGATACTTCGGGGCGGATCCTACAGGCAAGTCATTGCTGGATTATTTGGCCTCGGAAGATCACCACTCAGTCTTGCTGCTTATCCGTTCTGAACTGTGGCACTCGAGAAGCATCATCGTCCGTATACAGCTGGCTTCGCGGCACGAGTCGCTGCGTCTCCGCTTGCTTCAAACGGGCGCAGCAGAACCAGCCTGGTTAGCTTTCCTCTCGGCAGTTGATGCTCCCACTCGTGTGCAAACAGTCTTGCCATCTGTGCCGGATGACGACTGTCAAAGCATTGCAAGTCAGAGTATAGCTATCTCTGCCGGGCCCACCAGGCACGCGAAGCGATCACTGTCTCAAAAGTCCTTGCGCTCGATTCGTTCCATCGAAGAGCATTCTAGCCCCAGGCTCCACTTGCACGGGGGCGAAAATCCTCCAAGCCCGTCCCTGCGCATTCCGATCTTCCAATCCAACGCCAGCCTGGGCGACGACAGGAGGGGGGACGCCTCACACAGCATCTTTAGCATCTCGGCTTGCAGTTGGTCATTCTCCACGGATGGGTACAAGGCCCAGGCGCCAGTCAGGTCCACCAGCGAGGGGCAAACCCAGACGGAGCTCGTATGGAATCACTTGGGCTGGCAGTGTCGGAACTGTGCGAAGCCACCGAAGCCGCCGTCCACACCGCCCGAAAACATGGCGCCCAGTGTGATAGGCAGAGTCAGATCGAGGAATTCCAATGGTAAGAATCAAGCTTACCGAGCATTGTCCCCGGAAGAGAGGCGAAATGACCAGCTTTTGCGAATGCAAGGCTGTTGGGTGCTATGCGATGGTCCCTCCAAAATGGTGGGCTGGCTTCACGGTTTCGTCATTACAGGGGAGCAGGTGCGCACCACCCAAGGAGCAACACTGCTGCAGTACGACGAGCATTGCAACATCCTTCTGGCTGGAGGCACCTTGACCAGCTTAGGACAGATTGTGAGGGCATGAGAGCACAATAGCAGGTTCCTGCAACATCTCAGGATATTTGACTGTCGACGAGAATGATAACCTCCTGCGCAATGGCAAGAGTGGCGGTCAGTATTTGTACGTTCGTGTAAATGAAGGTGCGGCCCAGTATTTCGTTTTCCCAACAAGTGTCTGGATATAGTCATGCACCAGTAAGAACTAAGAACGAAACCTTCCTTGAACCCTCCGCGATGTGTTCAGTGCTACAGGAGATCTGAACCGGTGCATGCAGCCCAAGAGGAGCTCCTCTCTCAACTCCATGGTATCTGCAGTTCCTACTCCAGGTGCTTCTGTATATCACGTCAGTCCCTGAGGGACCCTTATTCCCAGGCTGGGGTACCAGTTCTGGCAGCTTTAGCCACATCCAACACGATGATGGAAGAACCTTCGGCTGAAAGAAGGCTTTTTCTCTGTTCCATTCAATCTTCGGCATTGCAGCTCTAGCCGGCTGCCTTTTTCAAGCCTGCGAAGCAGCAGTCCCTACAGTTGCAGGGTAGAACTTAGCAGCAATCCTGGTGTCAAAGGCACCAGCCACTTCACGCCGGGTGGCTCGGGAGGTCTAGGAACAACACACGCAGGGATGGTAGGATTTTGCCACGGCTTGTGACACTTAACAAGATTTGAGATGCTGTTCCTGGGTCAAGCTGCCACCAGCATACAAGAAAAAGCGTGCCGTACACAGAAAAAGGGGTTCAGATGTCCGGTAGGGGCCGTGCTTGTACTGGCAGCATCTGCAGGGCTGCACTTGTGGGATTGCGGGTGTCGATGTTGCAACATTGGATCGGGGTTGCTTCGTTTCCTTGAAGCACAGCTGCCATGCAATGGCTTGGGTGGATCCTGATTAATCAAGGTTCCCGAGCAGGAGTCCAACGTCCAGCAGCCCAGCAGATATTTGACACAGTCCTCGGGCAGCTGCCATTGAATGCTTGACCCATCTCATCAAGTCTCCGAGAATACTTGGAAAGAGAACCCGAAACACACCCAAGCGACATGACATGAAGCTGGTGACAGAAGCAGGAGCCCTGTTTTTGGACCCAAAATGATCGCAGGCTTCAATTGGCAAGGCAAAGATGTGGAGTGTTGGAGCTCCCCAGAGGCCCGGAAAGCCGCTTCCGCTGTCCTGTGGGGTGTGGCCCTAAGAAGTGCTGTGAAGTGCTCTGCGAGGTGCAAGCCTTCCTAGCAGCGGTGCTACCAGGCGACACATACAGAGACCTAGTTCTGTTGGGGTCTGCGAGTCTGCCTCTAGGCTCCTCGCACTCGGCTACCTGTTGCGGAAGGTTGCAGTAAAGAGCTTCTGTTATGATTTCGAGCTCGAGCCAACATCACCACTCAAAAATAGAGAGCAAGGTGGCAAATCTTGGAAGAAGCCTCCGGCCTCGAATCCCGGAGCTCGTGAAGCAAAGGGCTGGCGAGACACGGACAGCTGCGGAGTCAAACTCTGATGGATGCTCCACCAAAGATGCTTACGAGAAATCAGGGTAATCCTTACGAGGATCCGACTATGCAGTCTCCGACTGTTCAGTTTGCCCAGCCCTTCCCACCAGAGGCTGTGTTTCGATACTCAGGCCCCCCAGCCAAAGCGGGAGACCTTACATATTTTTCCAAAGCGTGCGGGAATCTCTAGGCAGGATGAATTTATCCTTGCCACGCGGGGGGTGGGGGGCTTGAAACCTAAGCAGGAACAGAGTGTCTGATGCCGCCCGATGACTCATCCGGGGGCTGGCTGGACTACGGTGGACGTTGAGCGTCCGCGGAGTGGTTCGTGATGGATCGTGTCAGCGCACTCGTTTGGGCTTTCTCTATCCTTTCTCCAGATCTTCTGCAGAGTCATCTTAAGAAAGTTGGGAGGCCATGCAGCAACGGCAGCCTTCGGTCATTGCAGTGGCAAGGCCGCTCAGGGCGTCTTCCGTTGTTGCTGCAGTTTTCGTGATCGTGAGTTCGTGTGGTGTGACCATGTGTGCTCCCAGTGAGCAGGTGCTTGCCACGTTGTCAAAAGAAGACCTCCGCCGACAGGTGCGGAACTGCTTGTCATGCCACGAGAGTTGACGGACCTTTGGCCAAGAGAACGATTGGGGATGGTGCTGAGGCCAAAGACGAGGAAGCCGCAAACGTGATATTTGCCGAGCTCACACGGCTCAAGCAGGCTCTCAAGTTCTCGTCCATTGTTGGCGTATCCTGTGCTGTCGGGTGACTGGCGTGCAGTAGGACCGCAGACTGCCAGCTAGCAGTCCATGACATGGCTCCTGTCTGTGAAGGTCCAGGACCACGTGAGCCAGATCAATGCATCTGGCGCGCAGTCCGGGTCAAAGCCACCCCAGCGAGGGTGCTGTTCGGCTTGAGCGTTTTCGTGTTTAGGATTGGAGGCTAAGTCGAAGGAAGAAGTTCGGGCACCTTCCGCTGGTAAACCTCGCTAAGGCCGTTTCAGCTTCACATACGAACGCCGGCGGACGTGGTGCTGCAGCTTGAGGTTCGAACCCGGAATCGCTTGCGAGAGCTTTTGAAGCGCAATGGGAGCTGACCAGGTGCATCCGACTGACACCATCAGTCGTGTCAAGGCCAGGGATATCAATAT